GAATTTGAACATAATGTCTTTTGATTTCTTTCCCTCAAATTCTGAAATGTCTTTCTTTTCAATGACCTTGCTCCATGTGGTGATGGACAACACAGGTTGCACTCCACAATGTGATATTTCTAATGGACAATCTTGTCGATGTAACATTCATGTCATGTCAAAACCATTTTTCAGTTAATAAGCTTTAATCTTCTTCATGTTTTTCCTCTGAAGCACTGCTCCTCCTCTTTCTTATTGTGAGAGCTGCATATGTGTTCAGCAGCAGACACGAGGAGGAGGACACGAGTGGATGAGAAGAGGTTGGTGAATGAAAAGACTATGGTATAATTAGGTATGTCTGTGTGTGTGTGCGTGTGTGTGTGTGTGCGTGTGTGTGCGTGTGTGTGCGTGTGTGTGTGTGTGTGTGTGTGTGAGAACAGCACTTTGTGCAGAGGAGCAATGTTTATGAAGCACTGACTGATCTAAATGTGCACCACTGCTAACAATGGAAGGTCAGGTTCTGTGTATGATGAATAGGACGCCCTCAAAGCCTATAAATAATGGAACAGACAGTAACTTTCACAATAAACACAACTTTGAAATCAGGAAAAGTTTTTTTTCTGTCCGTAATATGGAGAGATGAGGAAATAGACTAAACATTGGGATATTGTAAATGTATAAAAGGTATAAAATCAAAGACTTGATGTGGTTATAAGGTTGTAGGTCTATACTGAGCAGAGTAACAGAGTTTAGTTTAGTAGAAAAGGGACAAAGTCTATAGACTGCTGACTGAAGAAGACACCTCATTAGAGTACGTATACTTTTTTTGGCTCAGGAGATAGAGTGGGTCGTCCACTAACAAGAGGGTTGGTGGCTCAATCCCAGTCTCCACTGTTCAATGTCCTTGAGTAAGTTACTGAATCCCACACGGCTGTGTGGACACTGTATGAATGTGTGAATGACAGAACTGTATGTAAAATGCTTCACATACAGGTCTTGAAACATGTTTGTATAAATACAGACAATTTACTCAACTGGAGCATTTAGGTTATTTTGCACCTTCAAATTTTATGCAATTCTAAACAGTAATTTTCCCATCATACGTTTTATAGCTTTACTAAGTTACAATGAAGATCAGGTTTTTATATATAAACATTATAAATGTGGTAACTGCACATGCAGGAGTAATTTGCATAAGTTTACTTTATATATGTAGCCTATATATTTTGCAGCTAATTGTTATTGACTACATTTAAGTTTTTCATAGTGTCGTTTAGAGACAGATGTTTACTCTATAGATATACTCTGAACTCAAAGTGTTTGAAACAGCAGACAGAAATCACAAAAGTAGTTTTTATTGACACAACTGTAAATTTATACACAGAACACATAAAGTGCATGACATGTGAGCACGCGACCATGACTGTCCAGACTCAAGAGAGTTTCATGAGTTCTTGTGGCCTCCAGGTGATGACCAGCAGCAACATCTGGACACGAGCAGTCCAGCTGCAGAGTCCTTCATCGGACAGACGGAGCGGTTCTATGACAGCACGCAGCTGTTGTTCTTCTTCAGAGGGGGCTTCCTCTTCACTGCGGGCCTGGGCAGCGTGTCTCTGCGTCGGCTCAGCGCGGGGCTCAGTCGGTGCGGCAGCTCCACCTGCTGCAGCAGCGCGCGGAACACCCCCACCGTGTTTTCACCGGTGCGCGCGGACGCCTCCACGAAGTTTGCGTCCCACTCCCCCTCCACCGTGGACATGGCATCAGCCGCCAGCAGCTCTCGACCCTCGGCCTCGGTGAGGTCGGACTTGTTGCCGACCACGGTGATGGGCGCGCTCTTGCCGCCCCGCAGCTCCAGGATCTCATCGCGGAGCCGGCGCACCTCCTGGAAGGAGCCCGGGTCGTCCACCGCGTACACCAGGGCGAAGGCGTCACTGTGTCGGATGCAGAGCTCCCGCATGGCCGGGAAGGAGTAGCTGCCGGTGGTGTCCAGGATCTCCAGCCGCATCTTACCGGAGTCCGCGGTGTTGTACTCCAGCACGTGGAACTCCTCCACCGTGCGCATGTACTCGTGCTCGAATCGGTTGTGGAGGAAGCGGCAGATGAGCGCGCTCTTGCCGACCCCCGCCGCTCCGAGGAGCACCAGCCGCACCTTGTTGGGACGTCCTGACAGAGACATGCCGGTCTGATCTGATCTGAGTGTCCCGGAGCGAACAGCTGCATCCACCGAGATTACGCACCTGCTGGGGGTGAACTGGACCCTGCACGCTCCGCTGCAGGCAACTGCTCTGCTCCAAGCATCCGTGCGTATTTATAGGCGGAGCATGCACGCCCTTCACCAATAAGACCCTTTTCCCTGGAACTGGGGAAATGATTCAAAACGTACAACCGGACAGGTTGAGAACAGTCAGTCAATAAACACCTGCAGGGCGCACTGAAACTCTGCAGCGTGGAAACGTACATGAATCTCACACCTTTTTACTGGTATGTCAACAGTCATATAGTCATATAGTCATATAACAGAGGGAGTCACACTGTCCACAGCCACAAATAATCCATGGAACCACCATAGAAACTAGGAAATTATAAGAACAAGTAAACATAGTCATATTCCACAAATGTACATTCAAGTGTCCACTGTGTCAATTGAACCTCTGTAAACAAAATGCAATAAAGCAATTTAGATTAAAATTAAAAGGCTATAGAAGTATTATCAGCAACGTTAATCAATTAAGTAACACTGGAAATAGATAGCAGAATGGCTGCTGTATTATAATATTATTTATTTAAAGTATCTGACCAGCCAGGAGACTTGATTAGTGTTGAACATTTCAACAATAAGGAAAATAAAAGAGCTTTATATAAAATGCAAAAGACATCATGACAATGGAAAGTAACATTAAATTTAACAAATGAAAAAATGAATTCATGAAATGAATAATGACTGTAATGGATCATATATATATACAGTTATACTTAAATACAGTAGTTGAGTAAAAATACTATACAGTCCGCCACCGCTGAAATTAAACTGAGGAAAATACTTCATAAGATCCACGTGGTTTTGTTGTTTTGTTCCGTCCTAGGAACTCAGAGCCTGAAGTCTGCCAGTCATAAAGAGATGGTCATTCATGCACACGCACAGACACACAAACGCACACACACACAGACACGTGCACTCATATTGACACCAGGTATGAGTCATGGAAGGTCTCTCTTTAATCCTTCCACGACCACATGCTGTTTGACACAAACACACACGTTGTGTAATCTGTATGAACATATGCTGCACACATCCTGTTATTAAAAACACTGGACTTGTGTTTGGAGGATCAGTGCAGTTTTGGTTTTGGTCGGATAGTTTCATGCATGAGTGGATTTAATCATTTGGACAATTTGAACAGGGTTAATAATTATTTGCTGGCACAGGGGACCACACCCACAGGGATTTCTGAACAGTGCAGTGGAAAAGTCAAACGGGGCTGATAGCACGCATGAGCTTTTCAAGGGATTTTGGAGGCCTCATGCAAAAGGGACCTGGGGGCCTCACCTCAAACCAAATCAACTTACCCCCCCAGGTCATTACTATCAAGTGGGTGCAGGTCACAGGTGTAGCTGTGCATGCAGGCTCCAGCCCTGTTCTTCCAATAGTTTTTGGTGTCGAAAAAAACAAAATGGCGCTGGACAAAATGCCAAAATCGATGCTTCAAAACTTCTCCTCACAACCCAGCAGGTGAAATCCCGGTGAGGATATTACCCATGATCCCACAAATCCACCAAGCTCTGTTCAGAATTCTTCATATTTAAAAAAAGTTTCCCGCTCAATATTGGAAATAGACGCTGTTTTTAAAGTTGTCTACAGTTCAGCATTACTCTTGAGCTTGTTGGGCCTGATTCTGACAGCTGCAGCCAAGACTAAGTCAGTTTCACGCTTCTCACAGGAGATCGTATCCCCTTACCTTTGGGTTGAGAATAATAAGATGGCGCCAGACAAAATGTCAGACTTGAGGCCTAAAGTTGGCGAGTTGACACTTGGTACATGCGCATAAATAATCTAAAAAAAACCGACGCTTTTGGCTTCTTCTGAAGTAAATCAATACAAGATAAAGAACAACCCGCCCCTCCTGTTTGTCTGTTGCTGACTCTCACTGTCTGGCTGGACGTGACTCTCGATGGACAAACAGATAACGTGATAATTTGTCAACGTGTTCGTGCCTTTGTGTGCGTTCATTCCTTTGTTCTGTCTCGTATCTCTACCCTTGAAGAAGGTCAGTGTTTCCTTTTTAATATCAGGGAGCAAATAAGGCAGGAGCAAATCAAATAAAGACCAAAAAAAACACACGACCCTGCCGATAAACTCACCTGAGCCACTGCAGCATTTTCATTGGATGCAACTGTCCTGCATCCGTTGACACGAGCACGTTCCCTGTTTTACGTAATTTAATGAAATTGGCAGCATTCTATCAAAGTAACAACTTATCATGCGACTGTTTGAGTTTGCTTTTTTCATATTTGATCTTTATCTCATTCTAATCTCGTTTTTTTTGGATTCTTGCTGCTCTTGTGTTACTTTTCTTGCTTGTTTCCTTCTTGGATTTATTCCCAACTGAACACTGAGTAATCTCCTCGCTCACAGACTCATAACCCTTATCTCTCGTCTCTTATGCATAAACACAAAAGAGACCCAGCTCTATTTCTCCTGGTCAACAAATCCTCCTTTTTGCTGCACAACTTCTCATCTTCCACCTCATTCTCTGCTTTTTCTTCTCAAATGCAATATTGGCTTTTTCTGGCAAGCAGGCAAAGATGAAGTCAAGAGCCCGTCATGTGTTTTCTCTTACTGATGATGTTGCACAAACAGGATAACTAAAGCAATGTGAGTGGAAGTTATTATTGTATTAGCGTGAGCACAGTAGAAGCTTCAATTTCATTAGGGAGTATCACATGTCTGCGTTATCTTGAGCTTTTTATCTACTAAACGTTCCCTCTCTCACTTTACAGAGTCTGAAGTGTCAAAGAAACTGCATCTTTAGTTACGTGGCTATTTTGAATTTGAGTATTACAATGTTTATTGAAATTATTGATCTAACAAAAAACGTCTCCACTTTCCCCCACTGTCCACAAATTCTCAGTATCCCAGATACTTACGTCGCCATCTTGAGTGTATGGAGCCAGAGTCTGTGCAGTAGTGATCGGAGGGGTGGAGCTGTGGTCGTGACGTCCGACGATACATGTGCTCGACCAATCACGAGTCAGTCTTGGCCGTCAATCGTGACTTTTCAGTCAGTATTTATAGCTTTAGTTTGCTCAGTGTCCCATCTCCTAACATGGAGGAGGTGGGTTTTACGACCTATACCAAAGCAAGCCACCAGGAGGCGGTTGAGAAGCTTTAGCTTAACTTTTCTGGAGAGAAATCATGTCTTTAATCTTTATAAACAGTCTATGTTCTGTTGCCTCTCCGAACACTCGTCCTCCCATCCCTGCCATCCCCTGTTACCATGGCAACATGCAGAGATCTCACAGTGGAGGATGAGGGACGTCTGCTGCTCTCTTCACGTCTGTGTCAGTATCAGAACACGTATGTTTAGTTTAGCATCAGAGTGGCTGAAGGTTGAGTTTGGTCTGCAGGAGGACAGAGAAAGTAGGTTGCCTCCCTCTTCCCTCGCCTTCCTTTCTCTAGCACAGTTTTGGATCAGTGGAATCTCAGGGGGACATGGTTCAGGCGCTTTGTCTCCCACACAGCAGCAGAAATAGTCACAATGGATTTTATTATCATCAGAACAAGACGGTTGCCATTTAAATAAAGGTGCCAAGTTACTAAACTGAAGCCGCAAGTCAGTGATAATGATTAATTTCATGGTGACTATGGCCTTTTCATGGGGTTAACTGGCTATAAGAAAATATACGTTTATATCTGCATTTATGTTAGACACTGTCTTATTAATTAATTAATTATTTTATTTATTTCATTGGTCCATTTGTAATTTGCACTATTTTAATTCAGTATTACCATTTTCTGGTACATAAGAATAGCTAACCAGAATAAAGTTTTAAAAATGTTTGAGTTCTTAAACAACTATAATTATGTTGACTATTAGTACAGAGACTTTGCAGGTCAACTTTTGGACCATTAAACACTTTGACCTGACGATGGCGCTAGATGTAACGTTAAGGGATCACCCAAGCTACTCCAGTTCATGAGATCAGCAGTCACTCGGCCTTGTCCTTTACTGAACGAACCATTTTAGTCTTTTAGTTGTTGAGATATTTGTTTTATTTTACTGAATGAAGTTTGAAGATGACTCCAGTGCACAGAGGTTCATGTAGTTGTGCTTGTGTTGTCCACAGCTTTGAAATATTACATACCCACAAACTGGAGCTAGTGTTACTCCACTGAAAACTTACAGAATGTTGTGTNGTGTGTGTGTGTGTGTGTGTGTGTGTTTTTGTTTGACACAGTTGTTGAGCGACTGGAAGCTGAAGTTTGAAGAGTGTCAGGCGGACTTGGAGTCGTCACAGAAAGAGTCTCGCAGTCTGAGCACCGAGCTCTTCAAACTGAAGAACTGTTACGAAGAAGCTCTGGACCATCTGGAGACGGTTAAACGAGAAAACAAGAACCTACAAGGTTTGTCTTTGTTATTTGATGATATAGAAACGGGCTGAGACATCATGATTGACAGCTGAGACTGACTTGTGATTGGTCGAGCGTCTGTATCGGCTGGACTTTGATACCAAGATCACTACCGCACAGACTTCTATTCCAAATGATGTCATCGGCTGCATGTCCGTCCTCTGATTGGTCTGCGAAGAGAACAGCTTGGAGCCTGGAAATATTATAAATACAAGTTTAGCCACATAAATAAATTTAGATTTCACAAGGTCAGGTCTTGAAATTAGAATCTAGAGAATCTGATGTTAGTGATAAATATTTGTGATTGATGATAAACTGATTGAACAACTATGTTGATTCCAGACGAGATCCTTGACCTGACAGACCAGATCAGTCATGGAGGCAAGACCATCCATGAGCTGGAGAGGATGAAGAAGATCCTGGACGTGGAGAAGAGCGATATCAGAGCAGCTCTGGAGGAGGCAGAGGTAACTGACTAACCAGCTGTAGATATCTAGTAACGCTCCACCAGCTCGACTGTTAACATCAGTAACTGTTCACCAACCAACTAACCAGGGCAGTCTGGAGCACGAGGAGAGTAAGACACTGAAGGTTCAGATGGAGTTGCAGCAGGTGAGGACTGAGATCGACCGCAAGATCGCAGAGAAAGACGAAGAAATCGACATCCTCAGGTAAGAAATATACATTATGAACTAACACACTAGCAGAGTAAAACCGACCAATCAGAGGCTAGAAAACAAAACCACCAACTAACCAGTAAAAGGCCGGACAGATTTATGTCCATCCGTCCATTTATCATCTATACGGCTTATACCATTCACACCCACATTTACATCTACAGACACAGGGAGAACATGCACTCCACACAGAAAGAATTCATGATCTGTGACGGTGCAAACCTCTGCACCACCGTGCCGCCCACAGGTTGAGGTCCCAAATTTAAAACCTTCAAAAAACTTCTGCTGTTTTCCATTAGGCGGAACAACCAGCGTTCCCTGGATACCATGCAGGCCGGTTTGGAGGCGGAGGTTCGAAGTCGCACTGAGGCCGTTCGTCTGAAGAAGAAGATGGAGTCTGACCTGAATGAGATGGAGGTTCAGCTGGGACATGCCAACAGACAGGCGGCCGAGAGCCAAAGGATCATCCGACACCTGCAGACGCAGGTAATTGCAAATTAAGCTCAAACTAAATATTGAAGGTTTGTGATTCTTAAGCAGCTGGTATTGTCTTTAATTCAGCTTTGGCTTTAGCAGACAGGCTGGGGCTAGCTGGTTAGCATGCTAACTTCGGTAAAAGCAAAGACGTGGCAACCGGCAACAAGTGCTAATGTTAGCTATGTAGCGAGAGAAAAACTTTCAAAAACCTTTAAATCCACCCATTGTCTTCCGTTTATCTGGGCTCGGGTCGTGAAGGTAGTCGGCCCAGTGGGGACATCCAAAGGAGGGCGCCCACGAGGCATCCTGATGTCTGAACCACCTCAACTGGCCTCTTGACATGAAGGAGCAGTGGTTCTTCTCCAAACTCTTATAGTGAATTATTTTAAATATGTGTGTTCCAGGTTAAAGAGCACCAGGTGGACCTGGAGGACAAAGTCCATTTGACCAATCAGCTGAAAGAACAGATCGTCCTGTTGGAGCGACGCTGTTCTCTGATGACGGCGGAGGAGGAGGAGCTCCGCATGGTCCTTGAGCAGACTGACCGCGCCCGCAAGATGGCTGAACACGAGTTGGTGGAGATCGTAGAGAGAGTGAACCTGCTCTCCGCACAGGTGAGATTCATGCTGCCAATCTCCATTAATGCCACATCCCCTGAGGTGTGGTCGGATCTGACTGATCATCGATTAACTCGTCGATTAACTCACAGACTGATCGATCGGTGACTGATTTCATGTTGGCTTCCTGTTCCTTGTAGAACTCAGGTCTGATGAACCACAGGAAGAAGATGGAGTCTGAATTGTCTCTGCTGACAGGAGAGGTGGAAGAGGCCATACAGGAGAGGCGCAGCACTGAAGAGAAAGCAAAGAAGGCCATCACTGATGTCAGTCCTGACTCATGACCTCCGACCTTTTACTTCTGACCAAACTAAAACAAACACAATCCTATTTTCTGGCTCCAGCTGCTGTTTATTCCTGTGGTTTCTTGTCGTCTCTTTTCTGTAGAGAATTCTGGGAATGTATGTATATATGTATTTATACATTATATAGATATGCTGTTTATGTATGTTCCTCCAGGCAGCTCTGATGGCGGAGGAGCTGAAGAAGGAGCAGGACAGCAGCGGCATGTTGGAGAGAATGAAGAAGAACATGGAGTCGACAGTGAAAGGTACAAAAATGACACAAACGCTGGTAATGACCGTTAAACACCTGACGGCGCTGGTTCATACAAAAGGTCACCTGATGTTCCTGAAGATGACAGATTTGTGTTTGACAGAACTGCAGGTGAAACTGGATGAGACGGAGCAGATGGCGCTGAAGGGAGGAAAAAAACAGCTTCACAAACTGGAGACGAGGGTGAGTGAAACCGACCCGACGGCTGTTTCTGTCATTTTCCCAAAAGTTTTCATGTCTGTCAAGTACACAGCTTTGAGGAGTGATTGACAGCTAGAATGTCTAATGGTTGAAGGTGGCAGGCGGGCGTGTAGTGTCTGCTCCTCCAAATATGGTAACTTGTGGTTTTAAAAAACCAAGATGGCGCTGAACAAAGTGTCAAACTGAGGCTTCAGAACAGCAGCTCACAAACGGTGGATGACGTCACAGTGGAGACTCTTAGCAGCTAACAGCTAACAGCTGTAAACAGGGTCAGTAAATGAAGTGATCTGTGTGTTTGCAGGTGAGGGAGCTGCAGACGGAGCTGATGGTGGAGCAGAAGAAGAGTGATGATTATCAGAAAGGAGTCCGTCGCTACGAGAGAAGAGTCAAAGAGCTGACGTACCAGGTTCGATCCCCTCTCTTCATCATCACAGCTGCTGCCTCCCTCCTCGTCGTACAGACCTTCCGTCGGTTCTGTGGTTTTTATTTGGTTCTCTCTGTGTTCCTGCAGTCGGAGGAGGACAGGAAGACTCTGCTCAGGATGCAGGAGCTGGTCGAGAAGCTCCAGACCAAAGTCAAGAGCTGCAAGAGACAAGCTGAGAACGCTGTGCGCACTTTTACCATAATGTCCTCATGTCAAGAGTGAAACAACAAAATAAAAACACGAGGCAGAGCTGATCGTGAGTTTGAAGTTTTGACTGTTAATCCCAGCTGCTGTGGCTCTGTTTGTCCACCAGGAGGAGCAGGTGAGCGGGAGCGCAGTGCGTTTCAGGAAAATCCAACACGAGCTGGACGACGCGGAGGAGAGAGCTGATATGGCAGAGACGACAGTAAACAAGCTGCGCATTCGAACCCGTGAACAGACCACCAAGGTCACCGTGGTGAGCTGCACACGCAGTCATTTCATTTTGTAGCTTGAAGAAAACGTTTTGCGTCCACATCCAGTAAAAGTTGAGTGTTATCTGCTTTGTGTCTCTGCAGATCGCTGAATGAAGCTGCTCTGACTCTTCAGACGCCATCGGTGTGTTTCTGGTGTTCGTGGCGTCTCTGATGATTGATTGCTGTGTTTTGACGTGTTTGTGTTGTATAATCCAGGATCCCGACTTCAATCTGCATCATCTACTGTTTGCATCCATATCCGTCGGTTTCTACGATTCTCCACTGCGGAGCATTTGAGTGAGCTGATTTGTACAGGAAGTGTCGAAGGCAGTGAGAACGTGATCAGCAGCCGAGTCTCGCTTACGGGTTTGTTGGGCAATGAAAGGTTTCAGCAGTGAGTTCACGCAGCTACAGATAAAGAACACGTGTCAGTCCGACCCGATGACTGTATATAAAGACAATATGACACCTCCCAAAAATTAAGTCAAACCATCTCGATCGCCCCCTGGTGGCAGGCTGCAATATAGGTCAAAGATGGTTTTGAAGGCTTCACCAGCACAAGATGGTAACGCCCATATTTTGGCTTAATTTCTGTTCAACAGGAGGAAGTGATCATGTATAAACATCGATTGTCTTTATATAGTCATTGATCGTGTATATGTACAGTCATTGATCATATATATATATATATATATATATATATATATATATATATATATGTATATATATATATGCAGTCATTGATTGTATGTATATACAGTCTTAGGTCAGGCTCTGTTCAAACCTGGTATCAACATAATTCTCAGGTGATCTTTTTATCAGTTTTTTCTGTTATGCCAAATATTTACCTTGTTTTTAACCGACGTGAAGCTGCAGTGAATTAAATAATAAGAATAAGAAGAAATCAACACAGATTCGTGTTTTCCAGTCAAACCAAATCACCCACGGTGTTTGCTGCCCCTGTGATTTCTCTCTGTGATTTTAGAACGTTTCAGACGTCATCAATAAAGACGACAAACTGAGCTTCCTCTTTCACAGAGGTTGTCAGCAGGCGTGTGGTCTGAGGGATCAAATCTCAGTGAGTTAGCAACTTGTGGTTAAATAACCCGAGACACAAACTGAAATAAAGCACCTTTAAATCTGCGTTAAAGGTGGGGTTGGTCATTTGCTTCTTATTTGTTTAAATCCTCATCAGGATCCAATAGCATCAATACGTAAATAAAAACAGTAAATGTGCGTCATTCAAACCAAATGAAATTATTTTGTCATTACCTGTCAGTCGCTAACCGAAGAAGTTTGTGAGCGAGTCACGGAAAAGTTGTTTCCTAGCTTCAGGGAGTGGGCGATCCTGTGTTCTGGGGGCGGAGCTTTGATGAGAGGGGAGGGGGTTGTCGGTGAAACCTTCCGTTGCTTTGCTCGGATTTCCAACCCCAGCTTGTTGTCACGTTAACAGTGAAGCAGATTATTCTGTGTTGAACACACCGAGATCTAATCTGTAGCTTTCTGAAGGTTTTTAGCCTCTTTTAGCTTTTAGCTTCACGTTGACTGAATGTTAAACTGCCAATAGACAACCGCAGGCAGCTGGAATAAAGAATGAATGAGATGAGACAAGACAAGAGGAGCAGACACAGTCAGAGCAGCTGGAGAGAGAATCTGATGTTTCCTCCAGGAGGTGGAAACCAAACACTGAGAAAAAAGAGAGGAAGCACCACAAAGTTTCTCTGTGACGACTGGATGTGAACGTCAAAGATTGTTACTAACAACTTCTTTAGAAACTCTGAGTACATCAGAACTGAATCTGTTTTCAGTCGGTACATCTGACCTGAATATTGACGTGTGGGTTTTCTCTGTGTGGTAAAGACAAAATAAAAAGTTGGTGTTTGACGTCTTGAGCTTCATTGTGTAAAACACAGAACATCACCACCCGAGTGACACACGAAGCATCATCTCTGCTCCACCTTTTGTTTACGTCAGATTTAGTCAGTGAAGCCACATTTGACTATTAATTAAATAATGTTCTCAACTCCACACTTTGGAATGAATAAAGAGAGAAACTCTGTGCCCCTCGCTTACAGTTTAAATCTCTGACATATGTCTGACAGAGTACCTGGAACTTGCAGTCCTGGAAACTAAAGGTTTAATCATTTCATTTAATTATCACCCCCCCCCCCCCCAAGGTTCCTGTTCTCTCTGAAAGCACGACTGACCTCAGAGCAGGAAGCTTTTTAGAGCAGTAAAACATTTATTTCGACCTGAGTTCCTCCAAAGGTTCCTGGGTAAAGTTCCTCTGTTTGAATCACAGCTCTATACAGACGTTGGATGGAATCAGACGTAATGTTACAAAGAGGGGCGGGGGAGGTGCAGTGACGTAAGAACACGTTTCTCTTTACACCAGCGTTCGTTAAGACTCAACAGAGTTTAAAGAGAAACAGGTTCAGTTTGGCATTCAACACTTTATTCACAAACTATAACCAATCACTGTCCCCACAGGTCAGCGGGTGAATGTACAGGTGTGTTAGATCAGTATCACTGGCTGCATCATCAAGTGTCACCATGAACCCTCCACCGGTCCGTTCATCCCTCCATCCTCCAATCAAAGTGCTCAGCAGTTTGTCCTTCAGTGTGTGTGTGTGTGTGTGTGTGTGTGTGTGTGTGTGTGTGTGTGCAAGTCGGTCCAGTCTCACTTGGCCGGTTCGAGTGCTCATCTTTAAAAAAAAACACACCTAAACATTTACAAATACATTCAAACACAACCAGGAGGTTTTTCCTAGATAGTTGTTAGACAGCAAATAGCACCGCAGAGCGAAATACATCTGAGGTTAGAATATAAAACTCTACAGACAGACAGCAGACGGGTTAGCTGCATTCTCACAGGAAGGAGGAATCACGCTCAAACACTTCTACACTTAGAAAAATACACAATGTTGTGATGACAGCTGTGCGGTGTTGTGTTTCTTCTCCCTGTGGATCAACAACGAGTTCTGGAGGGATTCAATCGTAGAAAACATCAAGTGAAACAATAACAAATGTGAGATTTTGCATCTGAAGGGTGAGAAACTGTCAAATCAACCGTAGAATAGAAACACAACAGAAGAGGAAGTTAACCACGAGACGGGTCAACATCCCATAATAAGGTTGTTTTTCCAGATGCATAAAACCAAAGAATGACATCGACACCACAAACCATCTCCAACAATAATATTCGTTTCCGTAACCATGACGTCAGCATTGTTCTCAAACACTAAACCGAAAACTTTCATGTGGATCCGTTCACACGTTTCTCCGCGTGATCAGATTTCACTTCCTCCACAAATGATTCATGTTTTGAACCAGCAGGAGGCAGCAGTGCACTTCCTGGATCGAGTCTGTATTGAAATTAAAACACAGCCTGGGTCGATTCCTTCACGTTCTCCAGACCCGAGATCTTAGAAGCATCTTTTTCAATTTCAGACATTGTGAACGTTTCATGTGATTCAAGAAAGTGAATAAGAACCATTAGTCACCAGCTCGTCCCGCCCCTTACTAATGTTGCCTAGCAACAGAGCTGAATTTGGACGCAATGAGAAGTTTTAGTGCCCGTTGGTCTTTTAACGTGTAGCGCTCACTTAAATTGAAGCCTGATACTTAAGGATCGGACGTCTCCTCGTTTGTTACCCGTTTGAATAAAACCGGTTTGTCCCTGAAGCACAATGAATCCTGGGATAGTTCAACAAGATTCACCTGTTGGAGCCTTTTCTCTTTCTGGGGACGAATGGAGGAAGTGGAAGGAGCCTTCAGAATGTTCGAGTCTCGTCCCTGTGACGGAATCAACTTTCGTTAACAGAGCTCACGCTAACGTGCCATGCTAGCTGTCCACGCAAAGCCAAAGAGAAGGAGACAGAAAACGAACTCCAGGTCCTCGTGATGTTCGACGTTAGACGGGATCTGAATTTGTTTCTACGGCAACTTAACCGAAGCAACGGAACCAAAACAGTTTAGCAACAATGACATCACCACGTTCAACCGGACGAGCAGCATCGCGGTAAAGTCTGTGTTGCTGCGTTAAAGGAAACAACCATAGATACAAAGATGGACGACATGACAGCTCCCAAAAGTGAAGCCAAATCATCTAGATCACCCCCTGGTGGCTGGCTGCAGAATAGGTAAAAAAAACTCTGCCTCCTCCATATTAGCAGGTTGGACATGGACCAAACTAAAAAGTCTAAATCTTTGCACTTTATTTGTTTTGGCTCAGTTTTTTTACAAAATGGAGTAGGTGTCGTCCATCTTTATTTACAGTCTACAGTATTTACCCACAAACCCACGAGTCGGACGAAGGGACGTTTTTGTTTGTGCCTTGTTTCACTTTGTTCACTCCGCAAATCAATGAAGTTTCTCTTCTTTCTGCCAAACCAAGAAATAAAACAGGCAACAACAAGTGCTTCCCTCCACCCAGTAACAATCTATACACCTGCTGAACGGCATTCTGGGAAATGTAGGAAATTATACAGAGTTACAATAAGAAAGAACGCAGTCAGATATTTAAATGGAAATTAACAGTGTAAAAGTATCCGAGGAGCAGATCTGATCCCGTCATTATGTCTTTATATACTAAGTTTATATATTTTATATTTCTAAAACCAAATCTGTGTTTTACTTTAAAGGTTCAGTGTGAAGAATTTAGTGACATCTACAGGTGAAGTTTCATGTTGCAGCTTCAGTTTCTGCAAAAAAAAACACCTTATCTCACACACTGAACCTTAAAATAGTCAAATCTTACTTTCTCTTCTTGTGTGAATCCAGTTTTATTTTTCTACAACTTTATTTTACATCGTCACTGTTTATTTTTAACTCTGGATGTTTCTGACCAGTTTGTTTGAGGTGACGGCAGAAATTCAAAGTTAAGAATAAAGAAAAAAATCATAATTATAATAATAATCTGAGGATTGATGATGATTGGATGGTGATGTTTGATGGTTAACAAAACAATGTGATGATTTACAGTGAAAGAAATTTCCTGTAGTTTTCAAACAGCTGTGACACCTTCTGGATGCAGTGACATCATCATGTAGTCCTCTTCTGATTGGCTCAGGAGTCATTTCGAACCCCTGCTGTCTTTTTTTGTCCTTGTTCTTTCTCTTGCTCCAAAAAGTTCTCGTCAGCGTGTTGCATCCTGGGATCTATAGCCAGTCAGCAGAGGTTAGTACGACTGTCTGTCTCAGTTGGTCACCACGGTAACCAATGCTCAAGTTAATGGAAGAATAAAGAAAAAGAAGGAATGACATCACGTTTACATGGCGGTGATGTCACAGTGGTGGACGTTTGTCTGCTTCTGTCTCAGTTTCACGACAAAAACAGGACGAACTGGTCCTTTATCGTCTTTACATGCTGTTAGAGACTAAATATGAATATGTCAAACAAATATGGCCACTGGGACGTCCCCCGAGGAGGAGGAGGAGGAGGAGGAGGAGGAGGAAGAGGAGGAGTGTTTGTTCTGTTTTCTATTTGTTTCAATCTTATTGGCCTCTAACGACTTGTCTGTGGAGTTTTCTCGTCTACTTCTCCGTCTCCTCTTCGTCATTACATCCTCCTCATCCTCAGCAAGGGGAGGGGGATGAGGAGCAGCAGCTGATGAAGAGGTGCGTTGTCGCGTCTCCCTGAGCAGCAGGGTGGGAGGGCCTAGCGATGTCACAGAAATGGCAGAAGCTGATTGGTTGACCGGAGAGGTCCCTGCTCCTTCAGGCTGCAGCAGGCGGGGCCAGGGCGCCTGCTCCAACCAATCAGGAGGCTCTTAACCCTTCCAGCCGTCCCAGATCGGACCACTGGGGAAACACACACACACACACACACACACACACACACAGAGGAGTTAACGTTTGTTGATGGGAGAGTGTGTGTGTGTCAGTATTCAGTGTGTTACAGAAGTTTAAAGAGAAACTTGCAGGAAGCAGAACTTACAAACAGAAACTGAACCTGATCCATTAAACCCACAGATCGATTCTTATGAATCTTCAATAATTGATTCAATTTAAATATTTCCAGACAATGAGAACAGATGGATATGTTAAATAAAATATACAATAATATAATAACGAATAAATCAAATCAATCCAAACTGATCAGAAACAGGATCAAGATGTTTTGGCTTCACTTTTGGGAGCTGTCATGTCGTCCATCTTTATTTACCGTCTGTGGTGACAGGGTCGACAATATGTTGAATTATTCAGCTGTAGAGTTTAGTCGGTTCACAGGAAGTGACTGAATTCAGGTTCAGGTTCTAAGTGACTGAACAGAGGAATCTATGAATGAGCGGGTTACGTCATCACATGACCTGGTTCAAGCTTTACAGAAAAACACACAACATGGATTCAAGATTCAAACAGACGCAGCGTCGCAGCAGCGAGAGGACGAGAGGACGAGAGGACGAGAGGACGAGAGGAAGACTCACAGGGTTCGAGACGATGAAGGTTTCTTGACTCTCGGCCACTTCCTCCTCTCAAACACCCTGATGCAACAGACACACACACACAATCATTCACAACTCCACTTCCTGCAGCCTTCAGCTCCACCAGGGAATCATGCAGCGTTCAGAGCAGGAAACAATGTGTGTGTGTGTGTGTGTACCTGTGTGTGTATGTGTGTATGTCTCTGTGTGTTTGTGTGTGTATGTCTCTGTGTGTTTGTGTGTGTACCTGTAGTCATCAAAGCTGCCATGTTCTCGTCCTTCTGCTGAGGAAACAATGTGATTGGTTAGTGAGCAGAGGCCAATCAATGCAATTATATCAGTGTGTGTGTGTGTGTGTGTGTGTGTGTGTGTGTGTGTTTCGTACCCAGCTCCACTGAGCGTGTGCGAGGATTACACTGCTTGTGTCCCCTGCAGCCTCTGAGCTCCATCAGCTGAACGTGGAGCTGGTTGAGAACCGTCCGATCCAAAGAGCTGACGGCGTTGATCAGCTGGAGAGAGAGAGAGAGGGGGGGGGAGAGAGAGAGAGAGAGAGGGAGAGAGCGTTCATCTTCAGTTTGCATAAATGTGTGTGTGTGTGTGTGTGTGTGTGTGTGTGTGTGTGTGTGTGTGTGTGTGTGTGTGTGTGCGTGTACCTGGTATGGGTCTGTGTTGAGGTCGAAGTACTCCAGGAAGCCGGTGGCAAACTCACAGAACAGGAAGTTGTGAGTCTCGTTGATGGTCCTCAGACACCAGTAAGTGTTGTTGTTGGCGCTGGTGCATGCGCAGAAAGGACCCACTGCAACACACACACACATACACACACACACACACACACACACACACACACACACACACACACACACACACCAACAAATACTGATTCAATATACTATTACTACTAATAATTGTGTTGCTTTGTGCAATGTTTGTGTGTCTGTCGTACGCGTCCAGTAGGGGGCAGTGTGCCAGTGCTGGTTGTCGTGTGTGAAGCAGGTGAGTCCAGGCATCGAACACGTGTCATTGTTCTTGATCCTCTTGATGATTTTCCTCATCTTCTTCCTCCTCTTCTGCTCCTTCAGAAGCCACGCCTTCTTGTCCCGACCCCCGCCCTTCCTGCATGTGCACACACACACGCACACACACACGCACACACACACACACACACTTGTGAAAACAGGTGATCTGGTTTCTCCTGTTTGAATCTGGATGATCAGCCTCATGAGAATCACATTTAGTTTTCAGCCTTGATTGACAGATCAGCAGGTCTGTAACGCTCAGGCCTGTCAATCATCTGTGTTCAGCGGACGCCTCAGTCTCACCTGAACGGATGCAGGCCGCCGCCGCCGCGGTACCTCAGCTTGTTCTTCACTTTGGATTTATACCTGAAAATCACACAAACATCACAGAGTGTGTCTCTGTCGTCTGCGTGTACATGTCGCTGTCACACTGTGTCGTTTCACTCACAGGTATTTATTACAGTCACACTCCAGGGGGCGGGCCTTCTTCAAGTGACCTCTGACCTCTCTGAGGTTCTTTATCTTCGTCTGCAGGGTCTCAATCTGAGAGAGAGAGAGAGAGAGAGAGAGAGAGAGAGAGAGAGAGAGAGTCATGTGACTGATGAGAACCAATCAGGAAGAGAACGTGGGCGTCTGTGTCATCGTTTACAAAAGTCTCATATCTGTTTAGACTAAAACACGACTCTGGAGTTTTCAAACTAAAATGAGACGTAACCATGGCAACACTGATGAGTTTTACACCGACTTGTGCGTTACCTCGTGGTCGATGTGCAGCTTGTGATCCTTCCAGGCCTGAAGAGACTGATACACTCCGGTGTCACACTTCACGGTGGCGTTGGACAGAATCGAACATCTGCAGGAAACATGAAATAATGAGTCAAAGCTTCAGACGCAGTTTCACTCACACTGATTCTCACAGGAGATCGAGATCCGACCCCGAGAATTAAAACCTTCGCGTTGAAAAGTAAAATCCATCTTAACGTACAAACTCACCTGTGAGTGACTTTGATGGAGTTGGGCGGGACCACAACACTGGGGGGCCCTCCCATTCCGCTGAACTCCTCCTCGGGCTCCTCTGACCCGCCCACCAGACTGTGGTTACCAGGGTAACTGTTCATCATGGATATGGATCGAGTGTAACGGTTCCTGGAGTAACTCTTCATGGCTTTGAGCTCTAAGACGTGCACACACACACACACACACACACA